AAAGGTTAGAAATCAATAAGCTAATCTTTGAGGGTTAGAAATAGATTTGGGTACCTATTTGAGAGATATCTCCCTTGTTTTCTCGTTTGGAAAACCACTCCAACTTCTTTACTTTGGATTTTACTATTTTATTCCAACCTCAATTCCAATTTGAGAATCCAAACACAGCCTTAGAGTGGGTGGGTTAGAATTCATAATGGAAGCATTACAATATATATTACCATACACGTACGAGAGATGGCTTCAGAGTTTTTTTTAAAAGGTAAATGTATTCCAAATCAAACAGATACATACACCAATGCTGACTCAAATGGCCATGCAATACAAGAAAATATAACCCTAACCATTGACCGGTACCACCAGTAATACCAAATGAAATGTCTAAGGGGAGCAAACGTATACAAAACTCCACCAACGGAAAGGTAAGAAGGCATGTTGACAATTGAGCACACTTATGGCTCTTTAAATAACTCCTCTGTAATTGATGGAAAACTTCAATCAATCGAGAATAAAAGACCTGTAAACCAAATGTCACTCATAATACCGCTACAAGCGAACTCAAGCAGATTGGACACCGAAATAAATTCAGAAAGTAGGAAGACCACATTCGTTATTAGAAGGAGAAAACGGAAAGATGGCAACAATAAGAAACAACAAAGAGGTGGATATGCCTTTATTGAATTAAAACAAATAAAAACAAACGAGTGAGAGACCTTGGCCTCGCGTGAAACTCAGTTGGTGACACACCAATCACGATGACACCGGAGACCACAAATAGTCAATACACAAAGGGGGCAGAACCACCACATGAAAAGAGGAGTAACATCGGCACAAGGGAGCCTATTACTGCCACCACTGCCACCAACAAAGCCACGACTTCCACCAAAACAGGCGCTGCAACACCGTGGCAAAGACCCTTGTACCACAACTCTACAAAAACCACGCCCTGTCAACATCAACCCCACCTTTAAAATAAAGGATAATTATGTCATCCTTTCTAACTCAAATAGTTTAAACTTTTAAATAAAGGATAATTGTGTCGACCTTTCTTCAATATAGAGATGTAGAGGTGTGTCTATGAAGTAACACAATTGAAGGTAGGTAGATAAAAATCTCTAATCTAACTCAAATAATTTAAATTAATAATAATTCAAACTTTAAAATAAAGGATAATTATGTTGTCCTTTCTTCAATGTAGAGGTGTAGACGTGTGATTTGTCAGGTTATGACCGGAGACCAGCCGGTGGCCGGTGTAATTTGTCAAGTTATGGATAGATACTTAGGTTGGCGGCTGGTGTAATCTGTCAGGTTATGGATCATGGCCTGTCAGATTATGGCCCGAGACCCGCTAGTGGCCAGCGTAATCTGTCAGGGTCATAACCTATTAGGTTATGGTTGGCGGCCGGCTAGAGACCTGCCGGTGACTAATGTAATCTGTTAGACTATGGATCATAACCAGCCAGGTTATGGCAAGAGACCGGCCGGTGGCCGGTGTAATCTTTCAAGTTATGGATCATAACCTGTCATGTTATGGCGGCCGGCGACGAGAGACCGCCGACATATCTTATAATTTACTAATGGACCATTGAGGGTAGCTTTGAAATTTTAAAATTATTTAATTTAGTTATTTTCATTATTTTAATTGTAAAATGATAGAAATTAATGAACTAATCTTTGAGGGTTAGAAATAGATTGCGCTACCTATTTAAGGGGAATTTCCCTTGTTTTTTAGTTTTGAAAACCACTCCAACTTCTTCACTTTGGATTTCACTATTTTGTTCCAACCTCAATTCCAATTTGAGAATTACACAGCCTTAGAGTGGGCAAGTTAGAAGTCATAATAGAAGTAATAAAATATACATCACCGTACACACGTACGAGAGATGGCTTCAGAGTTATGAGTTTAGAAAAGTGAGAGAAATAATGGCCTAGTCTTTCTCATTGATGAAACTAAGGTGATGTTTGGTAGAGGGATTCGTTCTCTTATTCGAATCATGATTCGTGATTCGCTACAATATTTTTTTTCACAAAAAATACACATAAATCGAAAATGGTTCTAATCACATGATTCTAATCCAAGAACCAAACAGACTCTAAGTCTGAGACTTTGTTTTCTTTGCGGATTTGACTTTTTAATTCAAGCTTATATGTGATATTTTCTGAGAGCTTTTAACTATAACAGAAAAAGTTAGATGTGACATTATTTAAAAGTTTTTAACTATAAAAATTTAAAACTGAAAACTTAAATCAGTAAAATAAACGAGACCTGAATATATATATGCTTGACCAATTAAAATTCAAATAATAAGTAAATCTCTAATCTAACTCAAATATTTATAATAATTTAAACTTTAAAATAAAGGATAATAATGCCGTCCTTTCTTCAATGTAGAGATGTAGAGGCGTGCCTGTGAAGTAACACAATTGAAGGTAGGTAGATTAAAATCCCACGAGGCAAATGTGCTAACAGCTAATACCTGTGTTCATCAGAATTTTAGGGCTTGTTCTTTTGCAAGTGTTTTTGAGTTAAGTTTTTGAGTTGAGTTTGAGTTGAATTTGAGTTATAACTTGAGTTTAAGTTGTAACTTGAGTTTGCGTTTGGTTGTGTATACTTGAGTTATGGTTTGAGTTAAGAATTTTTTGAGTTTGTGTTTGTTTGTGATAAAACTTGAGTTGTGAATAATGAATATCCTTTTTTCTCCTCCTACAATTTTATTCAATTCTTTTACAATTTTTTTATTTTTCCGCATTTATTATGTTTTATTGTAATAAATTACATGTAATTACAAAAATAAAAAAATAATAAAAATAACAAGTACAAGCTCAGTTTTCATTTTAATAAAGTTCAAAAAGACAGCAAAAAATACATATTTAAGTTTAAAAAGACAACAATGAACGAGGGCATTAGCGTGCACGACGGTGCCGGTACACTGCCCACATTGTATGCGCCCTTGCATCCCTTAAAGCATTCATGTCAACTTCTGCATTAGAATCCAATGGTTGACCCTCATGGTTCGTATTGTCGTTAATGTCCTCATCAACATTCGGTAGATCAATGTCTGCAACCGGAACGCCATCTTATGAGTATTGGTCCAATAGCCTGTCCCCATTACGGTACATGTGGATAAAATTATGTATTATAGCACACGCTACTGGAATCATAACTTGTTTGGTCATGGGGTAACGATTAATGGTTATCAAAATACGAAATCTAGCCTTCCACACACCAAATGTTCTTTCAATGACATTACGCAGCGAAGAGTGGGTGTAGTTGAAAAGCTCACGTTCACTGTGGAATCCTCTTTCACGGCGAGCCCTATACTCTTGCAAGTGGTACGTTGTCCCCCGATATGGTGCCATGAAGCATCCATTGTTAGCATACCCCGAGTCGACGAGATAAAATTTTTCTACACTTGTTCGTATATTAATTAATAAATAAGCGTACGGATGAAGTATTTGAAATGTTAGTGTACATATAAGAAATCATTGTAGGCTGACCTGGTGGCGGCGTCGGGAATCTTTTACGTGCAGATTCTAAAGCAGCAGCTACTACTCGCGCATCGTGTGCGGAACCCTCCCATCCAGATAACATGTACGTAAATTTCATATCAAAAGTGCACACGGCAAGCACATTAAGTGAAAAAAATCCCTTCCTATTTCTGTAAAGTTCAGCAGTTTCATGAGGGGGAACACATGGGACGTGAGTACCGTCAAGTGCTCCAACACAATCCTTCATAGTCAACAAGTGTTATGTTGGTTATATTGAAGTCGTAATAATTATTATAAACCACTAATTAATGTACATTACCAAACATACATCGAACCACGGTAAGTATTTGTTTCCACTTGCAATGATGTGCGGGTCAACGGTTTAGAAATCTGGATGTAAAATGAAGTCCTGCTTCAGTTTGCATACCGCCACAAGAACTTTGGTGAAGTACTCAGACATCGTCGAACCAGATCGCTGCCAAGTGTACTGCGCCTTCCTGTTAGTTTGGTTCTGACATAATATAGTTAGGAATATAAATAATTGCTCATCAACATTTAGGTGGACATTGGTTGCAGTAAGCCCCTTTCCTCAAGGATAAAACTTAGTCGCAAGAATGCATCACTACTCATACGGACTTTGTCATACATCACTGTTGGACTACGTTCCAAATAATACTGCACTCTAAGTGCGCCTCCCCAACCAGAAGTGTGCCTTCGGCGAGAAGGTTCTCTGTATATAAATCCAGCGCATAGCATAGTCGCCGCAACGACAACTTGCATGAAAAAATTATCATCACTGTCATAGTCTAATTCAGTAGAACCCAACGGATTAGAATTCCCGCCTATATCCATCCCTGTCAAATTTTCAGATTAATGAAGCATAAAGTTATAAAAATGCAAATCATATGTGTAAATTTAAAAAGTCCATGTAAAACAACTCTTGCATAAATAATTGCACAAATAAGATCGCATTAAGTAACAAATTAAGTAACAAATCCTCAACCAAATGTGCCGCAACCTAATAAGAATTACTCAATTAGTACTAACAACGAAAAACAATAAAGGAATTAGAACCATAAAAATAACATGTTCAATCAAGTCGCTATATGTTTGTAACAAATAAAACGAATCAAATAACATCATCACAGTTGCGAAGAACCATTCCCTCCACATGAAGATGGGTAATTGGGTCTCGTGAACGGTGGCATGAATGGTTGAAATGGGGAAGTGGGCTGGCCCCATGTGTTGCCGTGTGCAGGGTTCGCTTGCGTGTTCGGCTGAAAGTACGAGGACGAAGGCATTTGTTGTGGCGGCCGAGGAGCAACTTGTTGGGTTGTACACTGCTCCATAGTCTGCTGAATCCACACAAGCCGATGGTGTTCTGGCATATGTAGGAATGGACGCTGCCACCTAGGCTCCATAGTCATAAAGTTGAACATGAAGAGATATTGTTCTTGGGAGATGTCCAACGTTGCCAATAAGTCCATGCATTGATCCTGAACGTTTTCAATTTAAGCCGACATGTTCGCAGATGCACTTATACCGCGCGACCGACTGCTTGTTTCTATCGAATTAACGAGGCGATCCACGACACGCTCTATATAGCTAGGCCAAGCTCTACAAGAGCTACGGCTTGACCGTCTATGTACTACTCGCGATGGTGAGTGTGCATGTTGTCCGCGGCTTTCTCTGTGCATGCCATGTCTTCTATCTGTAGGATGAACATCGTCACCATCATTGAAACTGGTTGTTCCTCGATCAGTGGGGCTGCCGGACCTATGTTGTGGTTGCTCATCATCTTGACCATACTCAAAGGCCCCATTTGCCCGAGTATTGGCAAACGCACAATAATATAGATCGTAATCCAACAAGGGCTTCTTCCTCGCCCTTTCAACCTCGAGATGGATCTGTAAATGGAGCAGCAAATATTAATACAACAAGGGTCACTGAATTGTAAATGGCATATACTATTAGAAACTTACACTGATAAATTGTTGCCAATACTCGTTAGTGCAAGTGGGTTTCTTTTCAATCGGATCCCATCCAAGTGCAGTGGCAGTGCGAAGTAGAAACTCAGCATCAAACGTTTTCTTCAGTCTACTAGCTTTTTGTTTGACTTTGTCCCAAGTTAGGGGAACGGTAAAATGCTCACTTAGCTCCGCCGCCCATTGTGTGTATTTATCTCGGTGAGGGGTGGTACCGACAGAGTTCAATAAATTGAACTCACCTAGACATCTAAGCAGTTGTTCCTCAGCTTCTGGGCTCCAATTTACATCTTTATCTCTCCTTTTCGCCATCTATGTATTGACAATACCATAATGGTAGCAATACATATGTACATAGCATACAAAATTCATTTAATGAGCTCGGATGTTGGAAGGAGGCTCAGATTTGTGTAAAGGCCAATCATCGTCCTATTATAGAGCATTATCCAAGGCTAGGACAGTTAGGCTACCAAGGTTTATGTTTAATTAATCTTAGTGGTAGGTTTCTCATGCACTTTATGCCATGATGTTATGCATAAACCGGCAACCAATATGCTGCCTAAGGTTTAGCTAATGTCGGCATATTGATCAAGCAAGGCATTGAAAGTGAATTAAAGCAACCATACCAACGAAGAGTAATGGGATAAACTGGCAACCAACCACTAACCCAGCCATAGAATATCACTCGACATACGGGACTAGGCCATTAAATACAATTATATCATCATAGCCACGGAGAATTGTAATCTAGAAACTGAAAAAACCAGAAACAGTTTCTGTTTTTTTTTTCCAGAAACTGCACAGCAGGATTTACAAATGTACATATGAGAACAATATTAAAAAACGATGCCAAATAATGTAAGTATAGAACGATGCATTGTATAGAGAACATTCTTAACAGATGAACAAGGTACGTAATGTAGCTAACCTAGCAGGTGTGGACATAAGCATTCACAGCGTGTGATGAAGTCTAGACGCTGAAATCACCGGAAACAGGTTCTGGTTTTTTTTTCCAGAAACTGAACAAAAAGAGGTTCCAACATACTAGTGCCCCGATGAAGTATAGAGGCTGAAAGCACCAAAAAAATAACCAGCACAAGCAACTGTTTTTTCCACATTACCAACATAGGCAAAAAATGCCCTCTAGATACTGTTCTCTGAATGCAATCTAGAAGAGAGATCACTAGAAATAAGTTTCTATTTTTTTTACTAGAAACTAACGCTTACGGTAGGGTGAAGATGGGTAAATTGGTGACCGGCAAACATTTAGGGCTGTTAGAGATCAACAGGGCACATCAAAATGCAAATGACATATTCCACAATCTCAAAGGGGTTGCAACAGACTAGTGCCCCGATGAAGTATAAAGGCTGAAAAGACCAAAAAAGCACCAGAACAGCCACTGGTTTTTACACAATACGAACATAGCCAAAAATGGCAGCGGGTGAACTGCTATCTGAATGCAATCTAGAAGAGAAATCACTGGAAACAGTTTAAGTTTTTTTTTTCCAGAAACTACAAAAAAGGGGTCCAACATACTAGTGCCCGATGAAGTATAGAGGTTGAAAGCACATGAAAAAATGCCCAGAAATGCCAACGTAGGTTCACGGAGATGCCATCTAGAAGAACATGTTGGTTTTTTTTTTTTTTTTTTTTTCAGAAACTAACAAAAAAGGGTTCCAAAATACAAGGGATCCGATGAAATCTAGAGGCGGAAATCACCAAAAAATTTAACTACAAATGTTTTTTTTTTTTGCCAGTAGAAGAACATGTGAATTCACAAATACTACTGTTCGGGTTTGGATCTAGAAACCACCACAAATATTTTCCATAAACTGAACATAAGGTTTTGGAAAAAACTTACCGAATTCGAGCCTATGGAGGAGGAGATGTGGTTCCCTTGGAGATTCCCCAAATACGAGGAAGGGATAGCAAGTCTGAGGTACCGGCGGCGACAGAGGTAAGGGAAGTAGGATTGACGTCTCGGCTGGACAGTTTTACGGCGTGCACCGTTGCCTCTACATCGAAGGAGGAAGTTTACCCACCTAGGTCGCCGCACCAACGTTGTCCCAACAAATTTCCCCGTTTTGAAGGGGTAATAGTAGACGACAATGGTAGAGGAAGGGGGTCACGGTACATGCGGAAGGGGGGTCGATAGTGTCTGCGGCGGATTCGAAATCCGGAGATTAGGGGAAAATAGGGCAATGGATTGAGGGCTTCAGAAATCGATGAACGTTGGAGGAGCAGACCCGCTGGGTCATTCGATTTCGAATCAAGGATACAGGAGAACCACGTGAATTTGCAGTGTAGAAAAGCTGAAGAAAGCAACAAAGCTTGCAACGGGAAGTGCAGGAATCTGCACTGTAGAAGTGCAGAGAAATAACTCAAGTGGCAGGGAGAAGGTGAACTCAAAAACCGGGTATTTACTCGAAAAAATTTTTGAGTTCCATTTCGAGTTTTGCACAACCGAACTACAACTTGGGCTTTATTTCTTAACTCGAGTGGACTTTCTCAAATAAACTGATAAACCAAACAACCCCTTAATTTTTACTGTTTTTAAAACTTAAATAGTTGGGGAATTGTTATTTCAAATTTTGAATCATGACGTATGCGTATGCAGGGACATATTCATTGTGCCCTTACTACAATAGTACAGCATGCTCAGACCTTTTTTGTTTTTTTTTTGTTTTTTACAACTCTCTTCCAGTACTGAGCCCATGAGTCGTCTATATATAGCAGCTATATCTCTATATATAGCCCTTACAACTCCACATCCAAATATCCAGTTTCCAATATTTTCATGCAGATGGCTTCCTCTTCCCTTCTCTCTCTCTCCGTCCTCATCCTCGCCGTCCTCTTCTCCATCTCCTCCGCCTACACCGGCAAGTGGTCCTTGCCAAATGGTATCAACCAGAACCCGATCAGGATGACTGTTTTTGAAGACCACCTAAAGCACAACTCTATTGTGAGGCCCCTTATCAAACTCTTTTTTTTTTTTTTTTAATAGAAATTGTATCATAACTCTTCAGCGATACCATATTTGGTGATGATTTTTTTATATCTTGCATTTTGGCGTGTTAGAATATAGCCGTAAAAAAGCATTTTGTAATCTCGTTATCGGTCTAAGAGATATGATAGATTCTTTACTAATTACTTAAAATTATCCAAAAAAAAGGTTTTAGTAGAGAATAAAGAATATATATATATATATCATATCATATCTCGCAAAGCGTAATTCGGATTATTTAGATTAAAAATAATATTTTCTAGCATATCAAAGAACAATATATCCGAAAATTGACAAAAAATTTATTGTCATTGAAGAATCAGAGTAAAATACCTATCAGTTGTATAAAATAAGGAGACGTTTGGTTCATGAATTAAAATTATGTGATTAGAATTATTTTTAATTTACATATATTTTTTATAAAAGAAAATACTGTAACAAATCACAAACCATAATTCAAATCAGGAAACGAATCTCTCAACTAAACAACTTCTAATATCTATTAAGATCTCACCCCCACATATGTATATAATAAAAACTCTAATAGTCAAGACAAACCGCGATTCAAAAGGAAAAAAAAAACAAAAAAAAACGACATGCCTCATTTGGAGTCTCATCTTTGCATTTTTGTCATTTTCCATTTGTCGTTAGTCATATATCTATTAAAAATGAAAAAAAAAAATGTAAAACTCAAAATTTTAAAATGGTTCATTTACGCATTATCTTCTAATCAAGGACCTTTTATTGTTGTTGTTGTTGTTATTGGTTTGTCGTATCGAAGATTTGCTTATCAAATATAAATACACGTAGACGTTTCATAGAAAGTTTGAAGTTGAGTCTTATGCTATGTTTGGTAGGAAGGAAAGAAAATAAGATAAAAATGAAATATGAAAGTGATGAAAAATAACAATGATTGAAAGGAAATTAATTTTCTTTTATGTTGTTTGGTATGAGAAGATAAAAAGAAAATGAGCTTACTTTCACTTGTTTGGTATTAGAAGTTAAATTGAGAAGAAAGAAAAAATCTTACTCGTAAATTATTTTTATACCCTTAAATTTTTTACTTGGATGTTGATGGAGAAAATGGTAGTTTAGTAACTTTGCTCACTTTAATGAGTTGTCTCTATTTTTCATCCCATTTTCTGCTCACTTGTGAAAAGAAAAAAAATGGTGGGCCTACATGTATTATTTGTCACTCAATTTTCTCCTCCTTTCTCTTTTCTCTCCTATCAAATAACATACATTTTCATTTTTCCTCCCAAAATCCCTCCACTTTCTTCCTTCCTTCTACTTTTCTTTCCTACCAAACATACTCTTAAGATTGCAAATAATATATATTGAAGATCTCTTATTGTCCCCCGCAAAATATTTTGTAGAAAGCTAAAAACGATCAACAAAGCCAGACTGTAACAGTAGGACCATGGGGAGGCAGCAGCATCTTAGGTCAGGCTTTTGATGACGGTCTGTACACCGGAATTAGAGAAATCAACCTTTTCTATAATTCCTCTTCCGCCATTGCAGGCATTCAAGTTAACTACGACTTGAATGGTGTGCTCATCGAAGGAGTAAATCATACATCTAGCTTAGCTGGAGGCCTCACATCAGCCAAGGTTAGTTCTTATTCATTTCTTCATTCTAATTTTAAGCTATAATGTGGCATTACCCTATCATGTCTTTGTAGACGCATTCTTAAATATGAGCTTATGTTTACAGCATAGATCCATTAATATACATACACATATACATATATATTAAAATTGTGTGCCACATATTTGGAATTTGAGCACTTAGCAAGCATCTATTATATTTGAGAAAATAAGAGAAACATCCTTCAAATAGGTATCACAATTTGTTTTTAACCCTTAAAGATCAACTCATTGATTTCTATCATTTTACCATTAAAACAATGAAAATAGTTAAATTAAATATTTTTAAAAGTCTAAAGTTACCCTTAATGGTCCATTGGTAAATTATAAGATATGCTGGCGGTCTCTCGTCCGGCTGGCCATAACCTGACAGATTACACCGGTCATTGGTGGGTCTCCGGCCATAATTTGACATGTTATGATCCATAATCTGACAGATTACACCGGCCACCTGTAGGTCTTCGGCCGGTTGCCGGTCATAACCTAACATATTACACCGGCCACCAATGGGTCTCAAGCCATAACCTGACAGGTTATGATCCATAACCTGACAAATTACACTGGCTGCCGACCTCCGACCACCGGCGTCAGTTATAGTATGATCCATTAGGTTATAATCAATAATCAGTGGGTACTTTAGTCTTTTCAATTTGTGATGAAA